TTTACATACACACTATACTAAGCATACAAATATATTTTTATCATTTAAATGCATCTCTGAGCGCTGCTTGTTCTCCGCTCTTTTCGCATAAATACTTTTATTGTGCCCCATTATGTACTACATTGTTCGACTTTTCTGTGTGAAGGTCGCACGTAAAGCGCAAACCGTATTGAAATTTAATATTTTAACGACGATAAACAACAACAGAACCCACAATAGCAACAACAACAGCAGCAAATAATATGCTGCACAAATAATTTATTTTCCTTTCACTTATTGGGGCTGTTGCCGTTGCCGTAGCCGTTATTAAAACCCATTTATTGATTGTATTGATTGCATTGCTTGTGCTTACAGTTCTGCATTTGTAATTGCAATCAAGTGTCATAATTGGACAGCCCATTTGTAAAATAGACGATTGAATTAGCCAAGCCTGGGCTGTATCATGTATCATTTAATGTATTATTAGAATGCAGGACACATCGCAGCAATCCCACAATTTCCAATGCACACACGACTATAATCAGATTGCCCAAGCTTGCTAAGATTTTGTGAATTTCAAAACATAATTATGTATGTTTTGGTTATGTAAAGAAAAACCGAGTAGAACGTTAAAGCCTCCAAAAATGTTACTAAGTAACCTTTTCCAGCTACAGGCATTCAAGAATAATAGACCAATTGTTAATAAAAATTCAGATTATGATTATTCAGTGGCACTATATACTACGTATAAATTTGCTTTTACGATATCTAATATGACGAATTAATAACCTCCTTCTTTCTCAAACCCGGCAAACAAGTAAAATTGTTACAAAAAAAACACAGACTTCAGGTCTAGATCAGTGAATGCTTTTTTTTGTCATTTAAAGTGACATAATGTTTCCTGTTCAGGAATAGAAATTTAAGCTATTTGGACTAAATGAGGTATGTTTAAGGTAGTTTTCTCATGGTCAGAACTAGACCAAATTAAAATGGGACTAGGGATGTAAGTCGAAGGGAAAACATCGTAATTAGGGAGAAAATCAACAGCGATGTTTGAAATGAAAAATGTTTCTATATCAAGAGAGACTGTCATAGTATTATACTTAATGTTGTTAACCAAAAAAGTACTTGTAATATTGACTCTTGATAACTTGTATGCATAAAAAAACTGATTATATACAGTTTTAAAAACAACGAGGCGTTGCAGCTACAAATGCAAACTAAAATGTATATTACAAAATAAACATTTTAATAAAAACATCATATAATTTATAATACAAATATACCTTCTTCGGTAAACCACACAAAGAAATGTGACCACCCAACAAAACATGAATAATGTTCGATGTTTGGGCCTTTTTAAATAATTAAACTAATTAATTAAATAATTGGAATTCTTCTTCAATAAATTGAACAGCGAAATTTAGACACTAGCTGCAGGTATACTTGTAACAAAAGGTGGAAAAATTTGCCGAAATAACAGCGAACATGCAACTAACTTTTTCCAGGCCTAGATCGATTTTTTTATTACGTGTATGCGATGGAATATTTTACTGATTTCGTAAAAAGTTGTTTTCAATGAATGGTTAAAGTCAAAAAATGTTAACCGGTAAAATCTTTAATCTTTATTTAAGCTCTGTACTAGGTTGGACAATTATTAACCTTAATGACAACTACGCAAATGTTTAATCATGCTTCTGCCATGATGGTTGCGGCGTGATTCGAACCGAGTGCCTACTCTAGGATCGAACTCATATTGTGGGATTCCTGCTAGCCCGTTGATTTAATGTTTACCCCAATATTGTTGATTTTTCGCAGCAAATATTTTCCCTTAAGGCCTATGGCCCAACCATTCTGAGTTTTGGTCGGAATTGCATTATTTATAAGCTGAAAGTAGCATAGTCAAGTGCTTGGGAGATCAGGGGAATGAGTAACTAATTAGTGAGCTTATTAAATTAAATTAACTTGGTTAGCAGGTTAGCTGCATTCGGTCTTACACACACACACACTCGGAAACATTCCCCACAGACTGTGTTTGGTGGTAGACTTAATACCCTGAAGTAATTTTTAGTAGCACAGAAGGAAAGTGTGACATTTATGGGTAAAAACGTGTTACATCAACCACACGCACCAAAACACATGCATGCACAAGCACGTATGTGTGTGTGTATGTGTGGATGCAACTACCACCATCATCTTTAGGCCAACAAACAACAACAACAACAACAGGTTTTGTAGATAAAACGCAAAGTGCATTAGGGTCTACTTTGCCTGTATGTGGTGCATCTTAATTAATGAGACAAGGATACAATTTTAGAAGCTCACACGCACACACACACACACACACACGCACGCACACACACACACACACACCCACGCCTATTTACTATTTGAAAGCTCTGCACACATTTTGGAACGAGGAGAGAAGATAGCAGGAAGGACAGAAGAGACGCAGAAAGCAACACCGCGCTGCGTCAACAATCTCGTCGCTCTCTCCAATTTCTGCCGCCGTCATGTGAGCGACCACCTCCCACCACCCATTGTAACGGCATATTGTGTCAATTTGTATTGTCAAGCGAGAAACTGTCAACTTTCACACGAGCTTTGAACTTTAACCTCAGCCGCGCACAAATACTTCATTTTGGCACACGGCGATCCGAAAGGGACAGGCAAAACATTTTAATTAGTGCTCAGCACAAAATAAGTATTGTAAACAACAACAAAAATAAACAAATAAATAAAGTAAAGCTACCACCACTTCAATGCACAAGCGCAACTTTTCCAATCAAAAGGTCTTGGCGCAAGCAACAAAAATGCTTGCCCTGCAAGCTTTTTATACCAAAATAGCAAAAATACTATAAATGCGTGACAATTTAAAAAAAAAAAAAAAACAGGGAGAAAGTTGTGGTGGAGTGTCCGACTGGATGACACACTTAATTCACTTGCAGGAAAATAAGCAAACATAAGTCACAGCAACTGACTATCTTACAGGATTTTGTTAATACATATAAAGTGTGCGACGAAAGTAATTTCAGTATCACATATACTGGATACAAGAATTGAACAGGCCTATTTCCGTTTAATTCAGGCCTTAATTCGTCCAAATCCGTATTAATCAATTTTCAAATTTTCACTAAACATCAATTCCTCTACCTATATATCTACCTATGTATATTTAAACAACTCACTAACTTTGCCAAATCGAGTTCGACTCATTTAACCGAATTCAACAGAAACGGATTAGGCATGAAAAACTGAAAAATAAGAACATACAAAAATATAAATGTACTTGTATATATATTATGAATTACTAACGAGAATCATATAATAGTTTGATATATGCCAAATTACATATCTTGAATAAAGTCTAATGAATCTTTTCCTAATTGGATTATTGGATTTCCAAGTGCAAATCATATAAGTACATACTATACTTGTATACGCATTTTATCCAAATATTGTCTTTATGTTTCTAAAAATCTAAAAGCAATGAACAACAACACTTTGTTTTAATTTAAAATCAAGATTTCTAGTAATTAAACCAAATTGATGTATTTGATGAAATGTTTAATAAATGTGCCCCCACCACAGCAGAGACTTCGATTCATTTTGGTTCTAAAAGTGCTGCAGTGCTTTATCGAAATTGAACTTTCTATATAACGCCTGCATTTTCCATAACTTTTTCGACAGTAGAGACAAGAGACGAAATTGTTGGCCCGATACAATATGACATGCATCTTCAGCACATTTTAAAAACCCAACATGCTCCACAGATGCAGGGTATTTAACAACACAACGACTGCGCGCACATTGCAGAAACTTTTTTCGCCAAAAAGTTTTTGGAAGTGCAAAATGCGCTTAACTTTTGAAATCGAATGGGAATCAGAGATATTGAGCGAAGGGGTTTTTGAAACTAATCGCCAGTTTGTTGGTGTTAATGCAATACACACGCCATTTTGTGTTTTGTATTTGTGCAACGACCTTGATGGTGGGCGTGGCATATCCGGAGGGAGAGCAGATTGTTTAGAGGCCCGCTTTAAATGGCCCCCAACTAAATGCGTCGACAGTCGATTAGAGCTCGGTCTAGTACTTCGGTTCATTGGTGGGTTTGATGGTAGAAGTTCTATGAAACTGTTGTCGATATGCATTTTGTATGTGAATTTTGAATTTGTGATTTTTTGATGAAACGGAAGTGCCGAGCTAACGGAAATTAAATTTCGCTGTATGCGCCCAAATGGAATATTTATGTGATTGCCAATGGTTTGTTGAAACCAAATGATACCGGAGTGAAGTAATGTGCTCCGACCCTTTCAAATATGCAAAACTAATGTGTGAGTGAAAAGTAGAGCTAAAGTATTTTTCGAATTTGACAGAAGGTGTTAACTAGAAAATATAAAAGGAACGTGTTCCTAAATATATTCAATGCATATTTAATGCATGAAATTGGAATGATGTTAATTTTTGTTTTCATATTCTTCTGTTGAACATATTCTCACAATTAGTGCACAGTTCTTAATAGTTTGTAGGAGTGCTTATCTTTTATTGTGTGGACATACAGCGTATTTTATCTATGCGCCGAAATTTTCAAAGACACATTTGACGATTGAAATATATTTACATTTTAGGGTTAGATTCCAAATCACAAAGGCTAACCACAACCCCCAAGGAACGGATCTTTATTAATAAATTAATATATGTATAAATAAAATTAAACTTAATAAATTAAAATTGAAAAAAAAAGTCAAGCTTGTCCTACTTAGAGCTTAGGAAAATATGAGTTGCAAGCTCTGTGATTATATCTCGTAAGGAAACTTCCTGTGATCTATCATGAATCGTTCTGTACATATGTAACACGCAATCCCACTAAGCTAGTCTACCCTGTTACCCTTTGGTTTAGATATAATAATTATAGTAATAAGGAAGTAGAAAGGAATTCTAGAGAAAAGTCTTCCTAAACACCCTTTTACTCTTTGGGTACAGTATAAATATTGTGTTTGTTTGTATATAATATTTTTACCAACCTTGTTAGATCCTTTGCAATTAGTGCAGTTGATGACCTGTACTCAGGTTTTAATCAACATTTTAGTACTGAAAAGACAAAATAAAACTTTCGTAAGTTATTTTTGTTATCTGGCTCCACTTTAATTAGCACTACGAGAAATATACCAAAAATAAAATTACATGTCAAAATAACAAAGAAAAACGAAAAGCGAGGTACAACGAAAACCACAATAACCACAAAACGTTGCTGTTGCAAGAAAATAGAAAATAATTGCCCAGAAACAATTTATGCATACACATACATACAATACTTATACAAACATATATACACACAGACGCATACTCGCACACATACACACACACATACAAAAGAACTCGCCTGCTAATTATGCAGCAAACGGTTTTACGATGCGAGTGGGCAGCGCAGAGCGGTTGCAAGCGAGGGGTCAGGTGGCGAATTACACATAATAGATAAACTTTCGCAACAGGGCCCCTGCTATGGCAAACAAATGAAAAGTTATAGCGGCGAATGTTGACAAGCAAAAAGTTTTGTATACCCACACATACACATATGCATGTACATACATACACACACTGATAAAAAAGTTGCACACTACAGATGAATATTTTCATATTCAATTTAACGTTCTACTATTTCATATTCAATATTTAATTTCAATATGCGCCCACTTTAAATAACAAGTAGTTAAATTTACAATATCCCACAGTACATTTTAATATTTTTTCTCAACTTTAATTTGACGTTCTTTCTAGTCGATTTAAATATACTAGAAATATATTAAATTTCAAGTAAGTGTATTCAATCAGTTTTTCAATACTTTTAATATTAATATTGATCTATTGATCTATATAAAATACATAAAAAACTTCAAAATAATTAGTAATTGAGAAGAATTAATAATCAAAAGAATTTGAAAATTACTCTCCGCTAAAAATGGTTCTTTACAAAAGACATACATATGTATATATATAAAAAAAATGCTTTATAGAAATGTCGGTATTGAAAAGAATTAAATGCAGGAGAGTAGAAAAAAAGTGGGAGGGGAATATTTTATAATTAAAAAAACAATAAACCTTTGGCGTAAATCAAGCCCACGTCCACACATTATCATTTAACATCGTCACACTTTAAATGTAATATTTTAATATTGAAATTGAAGTGTTCACACTTTAAATCTACTAAAGTTATATTTATATTTAAATTTATGGTTTTTTTTTATCAGTGTACATACATATACTTAATATAAGCAGCGCTATAAAGCTTCTGTTCCCTTCTGTAACAGCCATCAAACGACTTAGATATTTTTCATAAAGCCAGAGATATATGAACTGAAATAGTACTTCAAATTAGCACAAGAGAGAAAAAAAAGCTGCAACAGCCTAAGTGTCAGCATCAGCTAATGGACTTGTTAAAGCGGCCATAAATCATACTACATACATACTCGTATGCCACATGTGGTATGTATGTATGTGTGTGCGCGAGTTACTTTCTTTTCGAGCCATGGACAGAAGGAAGCCAACTTATCCGCCCACCCACAGAGCCCCGCGCTTTAGGACAATAAACGCCACACGAAATAAAAACTACTGCCATTTTTGGCACAAACATCATTACTTTTTTCCTTTCTCTGACGCACCAAGCTCGGGTTTTCGACACCAACTTTTCAAATACGACTATAAAGGCGTCATTCAATGCCTACACCTAAAAAAAATAACTTTACAATTATGCTTGCTTTATGCGTTAAGGGCGGGTCTCCAGATCGATGAATCAGCCCAGAAAAAACTTCATATAAACTACCAGTCACATGTAAAACCTATCCGTCCCTCTCTTCTTTAAAATACCTTTATACCCAAACAATGGACGCGTCGATCTGGAAACCCGACAATATTAAACTGCTTTATATTAACACTGCAAAGATTTAAAAAAAGAAGTCTAAAAACAAACTTTGAAATGAACAACATACTACACAGTTATTGCAATAATTATAGCCTTTAGTTAAATAATTAATTTAATAGGAATTCTCGTTTGGTATTAATTTCAAAGATAAACAAATAACCGAATTCTCCCCCAAATGCTCTCCCTTTGACCAAATGCAGAATATCAGTCAGAAGGAAGCGTTAAAAAGCCTAATATTATAGGTACCTAGTATACGAATATAGCTGTCATTGGAACGGTTGCTGAAAAACTCGAGCTTAGTACTGGAAATTGTTTATAAGTTTTATCAAAAACGGCATACTATATCAGCTATATGAACGATTACAACCACAAACATTATTCTAGTTGAAATGCTGGGTGCAGTGTGTTCAAGAGTCGGATGGGAAAGGCCTTAATATTCAACTCGTTTTTAACTTAAGACTTATTGACACTCTTTAATTATTTGTAAATTACAAGACGCCTCAATCCGACTAGTTGAATGTTGGAGGTGAAAAACTGTATTGATACTCGTATAAAAAAATTTGTTTTTCCTTAAAAAATATGCTACATGCTGCCTTTAAAGCCAGGTGCCATAAATAAAATTTGTTTTTAAATGGAAAACCTATGTTCTGTGTATAGTTATCCCACGTCATTGTGGTTTGTGTGAAACAGTTATGGTTGGAAATCCTTTGAAATGGCTTGACCGCCCCTTGTTTAAACTTTGACTTTAAAAAATGTGTGCAAGTGTTTCTGATGTTGGCCAAATGAAATTAAAATGTATGTACACTCGTACATAGCTTACGTGTTTCCATCGAGTTTGCTCAGTTGTGTGGTTTGTGCAAAAATACTTATATACTTGTAGTATGTGTGCGTCAGATCTGTCTGTATAATACATATGTATGTACGCATGTATGTATGTACGACTAGTTCTTCATGCTGCCTGTTCGCCTTTCCTAAGCCATGGTTGTGTGATGTGTTTTGTCGACGACATTTATGGCAACCGCAGTCGGCCAAGAGCAAATACATACATAAAATGAAACGAGCCAACAAAAATTGTGTTGGTCGTCATCGAGTTGACAAAATGCTACACATGTGGCCGATAGTGGCTGACTGCTAGAATCAGCGCCTAGAGACACAGACGGACATGGCTGTCATGCATGGCTAACTGGGCTACCAACTTCGGTTGGCCCGGCCCGGCCTGGCCCGGCTCGGCTCGGTTTGGCTTGGCTCAATAGTTGGGGTTTGGCCGGCCTGGTTTGGTTCGCTTAGATTGTTTCACTTCTTGGTCGCTTTTTGTTTGGGGCCTTCTCGAGTACTATTAATTTTGATCATTAAACTCACGGAATATTAAATGCACGCAGTTTTCAAAGAGCCTAACAGGGGTATCGGGCTGTTAAGAGTGGGCGGTAACGCCCCATTAATGACACGCCATACCGTCTTGTTGTGGCTCTCGATGTTGTTGCTGTTGTTTCTGTGGTTGCTGGTGTTGTTGTTGTTGATTGTTTTCATGTGTCGCATGTTGTTACTCTCGATTTTATGTCCGAAATTTATGGCATTTGTGCTGGAGATTTAAGTGTGCATGTTTGTGTAGGTGTGTGAGTAATAAAGATGTGTTAGTGCAGATTTGTAGCCACTTTGTCCGTAAAGTGCGACACAAGTGTTGTTAAGCTGTGAATGGGATTGGTCAGTGCGAACTTTGCCAATAATTTTTTCGAATCTTTTCCCAAAAAATGGTGGGGCGCGACCAGCGGAGTAGTACGTGTAGTATTTATTCCGTCTTGCCAAACTGGTTTTTCCTTCCTCAGCATCAATTCCAAATCTGAAATTATATCTGTCGGCTTCATAATCAAATGTAAATATATTTGTGTGCTTTTGGTCAATAAGTTGTATAACTCGTATTGATTAGGGACTCTTCATGCACAGAAATTTGAGATGGGTCGATTAGTTCAGAGGACATTGCATTCAATTGAACGGGTCTTTCATATCAGATCGACTCTTCTCCACCACACATGTCTTCCTTTCTGTATGAATAAATTATACTTGTATGACAGCTATATGATATAGTAAATCGAATGAAGCTTCATAACCTTTGCCAACCATAATTCTAATTAGTAGTACTTTTGCTTTGAGTACAAGTACAAGTTTCTTTTCCCAAGCTGTTATGGTTCAAAAGTTGTCGTTATATGTGTAACTGTCTGCATCTATTCGTCTCGTCATGGGCCTGACTTACCCTCCTTCTGTCGCATACAAAATGACTTTCTACAAGTAGTAGTGTAATCTGTAAACACTTGGCTACAGGGAATACAAAAAAGAAGAAAATAAATACACCGTTGATGAACAATACCAGAAAGATAAACATGTTGAATCGTTCGGGAACGAAACGAACAAGTAAATAAAATAAACAAACAAACCAACACAACAATTTAAAGAGAAAACTTAAATGTCCAACATTAATAGAACGGTCGAAGCATGGAGAACTAAGAGGGCGTAGGACCAATCGAATACTGTCGGTGTCGCAGTAGATACCGTCCAAGCTCCAGTAATTTGTTGCGTTTGGTCAACACTATAAGACGCACTTGCAAGAGTTCTGACTGTTGCTATTCTATTGGTTTTCAGTCTCATTTACATTCACAAAAAACATCCGTCCACTATTTAAAATAATCCACTTTTCATTAATGCACAATATCCTTCCATTTGCTATTTATACAATATTTTTTTGAAACTAAGATTTCTGTTTGTGCTAACCCAACCGAGCCAGCAACACGTTGCCTTCATTTATTTGTTAGCCTGCCATTACCTTAATGAACAAATGCACATTTTATACTAATTGTATAACTTTTAAAAAGTCGACGTCATGTCACTCACAAAGAAACCGCCGTAATGTGACAAAATTGCAGGATTGTAGGCCCTTCCTACCCCCACATCCACCTCCTTTGACAACAACAAAAACAAGTTAATACTCTTTGGACCGGAGCTGCCACAATCAAAAGCAAAGCTACTTCATTTTCGCACAACACAGTAAACAAAGTTTAGCTGCCCTACCATCCATCCAACCCCTCGACACCCCACCAGCTCCCAGTTTGCTGGCCTCCTTTGCGATAAAAAGCTTACTCATTGACTTGCGCTACAACACAACTTTGTTTCAACTCTCAAC